TACTGTTCTAGGTTATTCAGATCTTGTTTCATCAACTCAATGTTGTTGGTAGAACTAAGGAGAGATTCTTTAAGGAATTTATTTTCTTTAGCTAATTCGTTGTTAAATTCTTCCATAGCTATCACTTTTAGAAGGAGATCATCATATTTATCGCTCAGAAATGATAGAGATTGCTCTATTTTATCGATTGTGGCCATCTTGTTTTTTACTTCGTCGAGGGTCTCAAGGATAGGATTAAGTTTCTTGTCTAAAAGCTTCTCAATAAGATTTGTAAGCATCTTTTCATCCATCTTTAGATGAAGGTCTTTGTAAAGGTGTTGAAGGTCTACAATTTCAGACTTCAGCATGCAAAACATCTACCTATCAAAAATCATATCTAATAAGGACTACTAGAGTCTGGAACACACTGCCAATGGATTTAACTATTAATAGCATGGCAACTTTAAAGGACTTTAAAAATAAGTTATTAATCTATTATAAAACAGCACTAGATAAATGTTATGACGTTGACGATCCATGAACATGGAAATCGGTTTGCTTAAAATGCAACCAAGCTCGCGACCTGACAAGGCCGATAACGTGTTGTTTTTAGATTTAGTTTTCAGAAGTACCTTTTCACATTGGTATCTATGGGGCCTATTCAGGTTTTGCTGAAGGTTTAGGATTGTGAGGGTTTCAAACGTCTTCTGACTCAGTCAGCTTCCAAAAATGGAAGTGGTTCTGCGGGTCGCAATGTGAAAAGTTGCATCTGATAATTCGCTTGTAAATGATTCTTTCTATGTACGTATATAGTGTATTTGTCTAACATTTAGGGATCGCAGTAATTGGCGCAAGCTGTTGCGATTGCCCTGCCAGTTTTTTGTGTTAACGTTGTTTAAATCTGGCAAAGTTAATAAATTAAATTAAATTAAATATGTCTGCTACAAGATTGCAGACATAATTTAAGTTGAGAAACTTAGGTGCAGTAACCTATATTAGTTATATTAGACAGGACGCTTATATATAGATGTTCTGTCGCCCCCTTATTACAACAACGTTTGAGCAAAAGCCGTTTTTAGGGAGAGTGGTAATTCTTCTCATAATTCTGACTCCTGGTGTAGGTGAACGTCAGAAAATTGTATGTTTTTTATTTTATTTTATTTATGGCCGATAAATAAGCGATTTATGATGATTGCACTTTATAGCAATTATATATATATCTTATATATTATTTAACAAATATAAAACATTTTCCGTGTTGATATACAATTATATCAACACGAGTGGAATTGGGAAAACGAGAAATTGTATGGAAACACGACGCCCGAAGGGCGGAGTGTTTTCATACAATTTCGAGTTTTTCCAACTTCCACGAGTGTTGATATAACTATATATCAATACGGAAAAAATGTTTTATATTTTTTTTATAATATAGCCATGTCAAAAGCCCGAAGGATAAGAAAAATTTCCGTGTTTATAAGCGGCGGAAATTTTCCCGTGTTGACATTGAGTTATATCAACACGGCTCTTAGCCAATCAGCGTTCAGAATTTACAAATGCTATATTATAAATAATTATATCATATCCTGTACATCACACAGTGGATGATGCTGACTAAGAATTGAAATTCGAGCTGGAAATTAGGCAGCTTAGCTGTAAATAACTTTAAAAAAGAGCTGTCTATTGAGAATAAATTTATTTTATTAAAATATACATATTATACATTGTTAAATTTTACAATATCCTAATTCACTGTCATGCACCGACAAGCAGGAAATCAGATATCGAGAAAAGAAAAGAAAAGAAAAAAAAAAACAACAATACCCTCGAAATTTTGGAAATTACCTCCTTCACCTATGATCTATTAAAGACATTGTCTGCCAGAATACAAAAAAATTGATTTTGTACATAAAACACCAAAGATCATAAATGAAGGAGCTGGAAAAAGCATGCACTTTTTAGTTTAGCCAAACAATTTTTTTCAGGAAAAAAGGAATTAAATTAATTTTTTCGCCCTTTATCTGAAATCTCAACTGTCGGTACATCACTGTTTAAATTTGTTACATTTGTTATATATTTATACATATTAAATATTTTACATTTATTCTTCATAAAAATTATTTGATTCATTTCATTCTATTATTAAATTAAATTAAAGTGTTCTTCCTTGAAATACTTAGAATAAGAGTTCTATTATATTAATAACTATTGATCATTTGATTTTGTTATTATCCCTTACAATTTGTTCTTCAGGTGACTTTATACTTTTTACTTGAAGCTCCTTCAGTAGCCGAACGGAAAGTAGAAATAATTTGTTTGGGTTGTCATCCTAAGGAAAAAAAATAGTTTGATATAAATGATCGTACTCTTAAAAGTGTGAAAACTTACGAAATCTGGGAAAGTGCTCTGTATACATTCAGTGCATTGCATATTTTGTTTACATTATAATGCAGACATTGTAGACCATCAGTACATACCAAGGATGATGACAGACTTGTTCCATAGTCAGTCGTCGACTTGGATTCTTTTTCAACATACCCAGTAACAGATCTTTCAAATCTAAGTGAAAGATACTTTATAAGGTGGTGTTTTGCACATTTATTCAGTGGAGTTATTCATTTATTTCGTAGAATTATTCATTTGTACATTTCATTAACTTAGTTGACTCAACGAATCATATTACGCATTCTGATTCAGAAATTTGCAGGAAGAAAATATAAGACAAGATGTGATAAATTTAACGTACTATTTAATTAAAACATGAGCAGCAGTGTTTTATCTTCTGCGAATGTTTTAAATTGCTTCAAAAACGATCGATCTAGTAAGTTCATTGGCGAAGTAATTTTCAAAAAATACGTTGTATAAGTCGAGAAAATCAAAGTTAACTTTTATACAAATCAAGGGAAATCTCTATCACATATAAAGATACGACACGCTTATGATTTTTCTTTGTGTTTTCCTCATTAATTATTAGTTTTGAATTCTATTTAAAAACATGTTTAACTTTTATGACCTGCATGCAGATGAAAAGACTAAAATACCACCGAAGGTAGATTAATACAATATCCAAACTTTCTTCCCAAAATTAAATCTGTTGAATGCAATTATTTACCTGAGGAAAGAAAAGACGGAACTCGGAGGGGTTTCATAGTCGTCTCAAGAAAATTGCAGAATGGTTCATCTCCACAAACTAGGTAGTACAAGAGAAGACCTGAGGTCCATACTGCTTCTTTAGGACCTTCGTATTCACCATTCAATATGTATTCTGGTGGAGTATTTTCTCGAGTTCCTAAATACATGTATAAGATTAAAAGAAAATTTAAAATGTGCAATTTCTAAGCGAAAGTTCTACTGTATGAGACGCTTGAACGAGCCACTGGCACTGTGTTGATGTATGGGGAAACTATATACCGTACGTAATTTTGGCTGTTCATTTTTGAACAACGTTCATTTTTGAACAACAACACATATAATCATCCACTTCTGATATCTCTGGCTTCTTCCCATTTGCACATGCAGTTGCACGGCACAGAGAGAAAGAGACTTGCACTGAATGATTGAAAATCATTATGAGGATGATAAGATTCACAAAATCCTAAATTCAGATCGCATCGTATCTCAATCCTTCACGGTTGGAGACTTCGGCTTTTACAGTGGATGTATAAACGACTCAATCCTTTAATGTTTACATGTTTAAAATACCCGTTAGCGGGGAAAATTAACATAGTACATACAGTATATCATCTTGTATAAACTCAAGATAATGGTTTTTGAAAAGAAGACAGCTGATATTTTGAAACTATTTTAAATTCCTTGTTAAAATATCACCAATTTTGTGTCTCTTTTCAGGAACTCGTCTCTTGAGTTAACAAAATGATACTACTGCATGGGCGTAACTTTCTCTTGAAATTCTCTGCTGGTAAATGATTTTGAAATAATACTCACCACAAAACTTCTTAATTGTTTTACCAGGTGTGCATGTTGTGGCGAGACCAAAATCAATCAGTTTCACTTCTTCATTATCAAGATCAACAAGAATATTCTCAGATTTGATATCTCTGTGAACAATTCCCTTCTTTTCCATTGCAAGAAGAACACTGCTCAGTTCTTTAATAATTTTGCGAGCTTGAATCTCAGACATTACAGATGTTTGTTGTGCAAGAATATCAAACAGATCTTTACAGCTCACAGGTCGTTCCATAATAATCGCAACAAAATCATAAATTGAAACACAGTCAATCAACTGAATGGCGTTTGGATGACCTTTGATTTTGTTTAACATTGCGACCTCTTCAGGTACAAAGCCAAGCTCATCATCCTAGAAGAAAACATTAAAATGTCAATGACGCGTCACCAACCTTTTGCGCCAGAGTTTACCTCCACCAACCACCCACTGAATATTGAGCAATGACCAATATTAAGTGAAGAAATTACCCCACTCACTCTAATATGATTTCTGGTATATATACATATATATATATATATATATATATATATATATATATATATATATATATATATATATATATATATATATATATATATATATATATATATATATATAATTATAGACTTTTAAATGGCGGCACAAAAAAGGTTTACCTCTACAAAACAGTCAATACTTGATTTCTCAACGACTTTAATGGCAACCTGTACAAGAAAGTTTGAAATTAATCACTGTTTGCATATGACCGTACTTGCACTAGACTTATAACAATTTTTTGAAAACGACAATTCTTAATTGTAAATTTTCCCCCATGATATTATGCCATCTTCACTACAAGAAAATACACTATATATACTATTTTTTATAATATTTGCTGACGGACTAGTTTTAATATGGTTCCAATCAACTATTAAATGTTCGTTATTTTCCAACCATATCAAGTGCTATTATTATATTTTAAGTGACAGCACGTGTTATGCACATCACACTCGTTAAATCGTCACCTGTCACTTTATATCTAATAACTAGAACCTCTCAACGGAAATTTAACAAAGTTATAATACATTGACACTTACATAAAGTCATTGTTATTATCCAACTAACAAGATGCATATTGGTTGAGTAATTATTAAAAGCAAGACAAAACAAGCCGGAATCAATCATGATAAAAGTTGGTCAGCATGAGCCATTAGCCATGAGACAAAACTATTGAAAGAGGGGATCGAAAAAAGTGAATAATTCAAAAAATACGAACGATTGTCCAAAATGATCTATCCAGATGTTATTCATCCCAAAAAAACGAAGTATGGCTTGTTACACCCGTTTTCAAAATTACGCGACCAAGGACGAAGAGTTGACATGTCAGTTTTATGTCATTCGGTCACGAAGTTTAAACTTTGAGTTTTGCGGTTCCTTGTCGATGTATATGCTTTGTATACTTTATATAAACAGGCTTACAATGATTTTCAAGATATTTTAGAGAGAATTATTGCAAAATTAAGCACAAACAAAATCATAACATCACCGTTATAGTCTAGCGCGCGTGTTTTACACTGACAGCTAAATTCCCGATAAATTGTTATTTTTCAAAGTTTAAAAGTTATTCACGGCATATATTTCTGTTGTGATGGTTTGTATTGTGCTTTAGTTTGTATATCTAAGTTATCTAACTCATTTTTGTTCAGTTTTGGTATTAAATACGATTTAAAATGTCTTTTGACAGTTTGTTTACGTTTGCTATTTTTAGCAGTTATTGTGACATAAAACTGACATTTGAAGTAAGAGTATTTTTCAGGGAGGTCGCGTAATTTTGAAAATGGGTGTAAATTATATATATATATATATATATATATATATATATATATATATATATATATATATATATATATATATATATATATATATATATATATATATATGCAACAAGTGTACACACTCTGGTTAGGTTATAATATATATATATATATATATATATATATATATATATATATATATATATATATATGCAACAAGTGTACACACTCTGGTTAGGTTATAACACTGCCACGACTCCAAGTGAAATTATTTAATAACAAAATATATATAGCTTTAAATTTTCGGCACCATGCCACCGCCTTCGTCAAAAAGTAAATGAGTATAGTAAATTACTCTCCTTATATACAACAATATAAGTGATTAAACTAATTAAAGCAATATAAACAAAGCCTATATACAGAAACCTATTGTTGGGAATAATCATGGCTGGTATTCAAACCCCCCAGATTAGTGAGCAAAGTGCCTATCCAAAAGTTTTCACACTTTCTTAAGTCCTCGTTGTTGTTATCAATTAACATAAATTTCAAATTGAAATGCTCGCTCCCGTGCACATCTATGAAGTGATTAACTGCACCACATGTTCTACGGTTATGCTTTATATGTGACTTGTAGTTTGCCAAACGAGGCTTAAAATTAATAGTAGAACCAACCCCCTGCGTATATATATATCCCGCCTGATGATTCTTTACTGATGAAACAGACTGTTGCGGAATTTTGAGGTAAGCGAAATTATATATATATATATATATATATATATATATATATATATATATATATATATATATATATATATATATATATATATATATATATATATATATATATATATATATATATATACATTCCCCAAATGCTTTCCAGTCCGCCACCTTCCTTTCAATGTTCCCATAAATGTCTCCACAATAATATTTCCTGGATCGACAGGATTAAATTGATTGGGAAATTTAAAACTTTGGCCAACTTCGAAGTGTATTCGTTCAAGGTAACCATGTTTAAAACACATTTTCTCGCTCGTTGCTCAAGTTAGTCTTGTTAACTTACTGGAATTTGTGTTGTTCCTTCCAATTTAAATCCCTTATAGACAATTCCAAAGCCACCTCGACCCAAAATTCGATCTTCACCTTTACACACGGCGTATGCCACGCCTGATAGGATAAGAAAAGATACTCGATAAAAGATTTAACGAGAAATGTTTAACGAATAAAAACAGCTCATACGAGGCATTTTTATTTGTATCTGTCTTGGTGTTTCTATGAGTCTGATGATAACTTGTACCATGGACAAGAATTGCCCATGTACCCAAATATGAAATTTAGGAAACGGGAAGGAATATGAATTAAGATCCAAGGAAATGAATAAATTGTTGAAAATTCGACTCAGTGACAAAAACAACAAAAAATTAAATGAAAAAGACATGCATGCAGAGCCTATTTTAAGACTCCGTTCAATCCCTGATTAATTACACTTTTGCTAACTTTAAACGGTATTACGTACCTGTCACATTTTTAATATATAGTATGACCTTGCCACATTTTTGATGTATCCAGTAATATGATCTCAACTTGCTAATTTTTACTGCGCACACAAAGATAGTCGAATAAATGATCACTCACCGTTTTCTTTCTTTACAAGGACGAATAGATCTTCGCTATGATGACAACTTCTTATTCCAGTCGTATTTGCTGTGCGATTTTGGTCAGTGTCATCCAGTAAGGCACTGTCCTCAGTGAAATCCACGTTGTGATGGCCAGTAACCTCAGATGTGGTGCAATGGTTAGCCAGTGGAACAACCCTTGCATCACGTACGGTGAAAGTTTTATCGATATTACTATCATGGTTATCAATTTCAGTTGAACTGTTCTGGCTATGAGTATAAGAGTAGTTACCACATCTTCCAACGTTGCCAGAGCTGCTTTGGTTATGTTTACCATGAATGTTGACAGATTTGGTAAGATGTTGTTGATCATGAGTAGGATCACTGGAGACCTTGATCAAGGGCTTGCTTGTCTTCTTTTTACCTCGTCGTGTCTTTCTTTTACGAACCCTCTTCTCCAAACAACTTATAATACAAGTGTACTTACTTTAATTAAGAACTATGAAGGAACAACCAATTAGTTATCACACATTACTGAACAGTATAACCTGCAGTATTTTTCTAAGTTGCAGAACAATTGCATACTATATACCATCGCCTTAAAGCTAGAACGTCGGGTACGTGTTATTAGGTGGCCACTGGTCGGACATTTTGCCGAAAGACAGTTTGCCGAAGAAAATTTTGCCGATTCCAATGAGTTGTAATATTTATATGAGTTACATCATGTAATGCAAATTTTAGCAGAACGATCAGGCGAATGTTGTTTGAACCTATAGTCAATGCACAGGTCAGTAGTGCCAGTGCGGCCTGGTCAGTAGTCAGTGTGTGGGTCAGTAGTCAGCCGTGTGGGTCAGTAGTCAGTAGTCTTGCAGTGTGTGGGTCAGCAATCAGTGCCAGTGCGGCCTGGTCAGTAGTCAGTGCAAGTGCAGATATTGCCAATAATAACAAAACATCGCTTGATAAGGATGCAACTGCCTGAAAATACATATATGTTATTTACTGGCTGCGATGTCCGGATGAGAAAAACTGTGCCCGAGGTCTTGAAAACGGCCCGAGCCCGAAGGGCGAGGGACGTTTTCAAGACCGAGGGCACAGTTTTTCTCATGCGGACCGACGCTGCCGGTAAATAACGTGTTTATGTTTTATCAGATGTAAAAATTAAATTGATTAAAATTCCAGTGTTGCTTGCGAACTAATTTGAGATCAGTGCAGTTGTGTATTTTCAAAGCGAGGCTGACAAAAATTGAAAAGTTAAAAGATATAAAACACGAATACGAAAACTCGAGAAAACTGCCAAGAAACACACAAAAAGACGTATAGTTTCAGTAAATATGTACATGCTTTTTCATGAATATGGTAGCAGAGAACTGAGAGAAGCTTTGGAATAAAATCTTTTATGCCTGGCGCATTGGCTTTGGCTTTGACAAGTTGCTCCTGACAACGACAGGTTCATGTTCAGATCCGATCATAAACATATAAAAATAAATCTGTTTTGATTTAATTAACGTTTTTCTACTAAAAGGACAATGAAAAAGGTATGTTATTTTTATATTTTTGTATTTTTTCTTGTCGTTTCACGATAATATGCTTGAAAAAAGTGTTTTTAAACACAAACTTTTACTTTGTTTACAATATTTATATCAGTGAAAAATACACGACACAAATGGGTAGAGAATATATTCGTGAGTTGTTTTCACTGGTGCTGTTAAACCTTCTTTTAAATGGGAAAACATTTATTTTACAATATCTGTTTAAGCTGTATTTTTTTCGCTTTTAAGTGGCCGAATACATGCATGAGCATTTAAAAACAATATAGTTTTCTCGACGTAAGTTTTATACATGTCAACTACTTTCCGACTTTCAGTAGCATTTCTATCAAAGTATTGCCAATTCTCGTGAACATCGTGCTTAGTATGAAGCCTTTAGGGCTTGATGCAATTCATTTTTGTATTCTGACTATCGTTAGGCTATGTTTTTCAAACGTTTTTGGCAGATTTTTTTCCTTTAAAAATTGTTTCACTCCTCAGTTTTTGCCGCGAAAACCAGAGCGGGCAGTTGCATTTCACAGCGGGCAGTTGCGTTTCAGAGCGGGCCGGATGCAAAAAACCGGCCCGCTCTGAAAGGCTCCTCAGCCAATCAGATTGCTTCATTTTCACTGATAAAAAATAAAAAGAGAAATTCGACGTTTCGAGCGAAGACCCTTCGTCGGGAAGTGACTTCCCGAATTTCTCCGGAAGTAACTTCTCAAATTTCTCCTTTTATTTTTCAGGTAGTTGCATCCCTATCAACCAAAGTTTGGGTATCACAGTCTGACTAGACTGTATGCACTTGTAGCAGTAACACTCAAAACGTATCGTTGCTAAGGGCTAAACGTGCATGTTTGAAAGAGACAAGAAGAACTTTTGAAGTCGTTCAGTCGCTTCTGCGTGAAAATATCAATCAATTATTGGTGTTGACTAACCACATTGTGGTTTCAAAAATAGAAAGACGTTCAATCATGAAAGCTGGGTATAACCTTGCAGTGGCATAACCCCGGGGACCTCAAGGAGGGCCCCTGAGCTGCATGGGTTGTTTCATCATAAGCAGACAGTGATGAAGACCCGTGGAAAAACAGTTTAAATTAAAACGGTAATAACTCTAAACACTCTTTTCTAATTTTTACGTGTTTACCTTAAATGTTTCCTTTGATCATCTTGGCCTCGCGTACAGCTTGTTCTCTATGATATAAAAGAGTAAATTATGAGGATTTCTCATCCATTGACGTGCACTAGTAACTTGTGGGAAAGGTTTACATTCATTCTAATCTGCCTGTTATAATTTATGTATTTCATTCTGAGCCTATAAACCCTAAACAATTAACATTGTAAAATGTACACGTTTGTATTATAACTAAACAATCAGTTGAATATCTGACCTATAAATCCGGCTATAATACACGATTCGAGCTCAAAGTGTAAAATATACCAGAAATATATTACATTTTACTCAGGGACGCCGGAGAAGGTGGACGCAGGGGGCATCACTCAGGTCCTCCTGCTCTTTTGTAAGGGGGGTTTATTTGAAATGTTTTAAAATATTATTAATAAATGTTCGCAGCACGAGTCCAAAATAGCGAATCAAAATACTTTTTTAAGGAAAAGTGTACATCACTTTTCTCGTAGGTGTCGATTTGACTATACGAAATCGCTAATTTTGCTGCCTTCCAAAATGTTTGCTACAATTAACGTTTCCAAATTATTTCTTCAATTCGGGGGGACCCCAAAGTTATGATTCCGTTAAGTGCCCCACCCCTTGTCCACACGTCCTGGCGTCCCTGACTGTACTTTACTTACACGTTTGGTTGGGAGTTGTGATGTTTCACCCGAAGACAGGACTCGCTTGCGTGAAGAAAAACTGCAAGAAATTACGGATAAATTTTGAGAAAATGATGAAGAAACTGATTTATATCATCAGCTTTAGTTATTCTTAAACCGTTTGAGTAAGACCAACATGTTAATAGTCCAACGCACTACATCCAACATTATTGGACCTACTTGATCATTGTTGGACCAACAACAATGTGACTAGCTTGGCCTTGGCGACCCCCTTGAAAAACAGTTGAACCAGTTGAACCCCTTGAAAAACGGTAAGAACTCGTATATCTAATATTTGCCGCGTGTTTACCTTAAATGTTTTCTTTGTTCATCTTGGCCTGGCGCACAGCTTGACCTCTATGAAATAAAAGAGTAAATTATGAGGATTTCCTGTCCATTCACGTGCACTAGTAACTTGTGGGAAAGGTTCAAATTGGTTATGATCTGCTTATGATAATTTATGTATTTTATTCTATTAAAGCCTATTTAAACCCTAAATTACAATTAATTAGTTGATCAAATTATCAACATATAATATTGCCTCTATCACTGTTAGTTGTACTTGCATAAGTGTGATCATCGTATTTGCCAAATAAATAAGTAAATTTAATATTCTCTAATATTTAAAATTCAAAATCCGGAGCCCCACTGAAAGGTTCTTTAAATGTTACTTTGTACAATATTTAGTGGAATGCTCAGTGGAACCCAGGGGCCGGTTGTATAAAAAAAAGTGATTAAAGTTAATTATAATTAAGTGGAAACGTCATCCAATAAGAAGCGCCTATTTGAGAGTTAATCACTATTTAACTACAAAATAGTGATTAAAAAAGTGATTAAGAGTTTTATACAACCGGCTCCAGATCTATCCAAAGATAAAGAATGTCTCCACTTACTACATCACGTGGTTTCTGCAACGTGGCCTGATTGCAGGCCTCGACGGTTGCTAACCCACGTGACACTGCAGGAATGACGTCACTAACAAAATATTTGAGAAATTATTTACTAACTAATCTACAACTATTTTCTGTGGTCAAAATATTGTAATTCCTATTGCTAGTGATATGTCGAGATTGAGTTCATATCCTGATTTTAATACAGTTTCTGTCAGTTTCTGTTTCGTAGACATTGTTTGGGATTAAAAAGATTTCATTGAAAAAGCGTGAAGCATTATTATCGATCCCTTTAAAGAGATATGGCAATACAAATTAAGTTTGGTCTCGTTTGACAGAACTCTTCAAATTATATTTTTCATATCTTGCTTAGTCCTTGTGAAATATTTTGACCGAAAACAATTTGCTGTCCGCCATCTTGAATTGGTTCTTGGTCTCATTAAGGGTGGTTTTTAGCTTCAAAAGCAGGGTTAAAGTCATATAAAATATTTCCAGGTAATTAACTCTTACGTAGATGCTTAAATTGTCAGTCAATTTGTTATTTAACGTAGTGACGGAAGTATAATTTCGGACTCGCTGAATGACAATTGCATACCAGGGGCTGGTTGTTCAAAGCTAGATTAGCGCTGACCCTCGGTTAAAATTTAAGCCGGCCGCTGTTTTTGTTGACATATTTCTGCACGTCTGTTTATTCGGACCTCCTGAGAAGAAAACTCCTACTGAAGTACTGATCCAGGCAAGATTTTTAAAGAAATATTTCCAAATTTATAAACAAGCTGTCAGGAAGTTTGCTTTGAATTTTAGATAAATATAGGATTAAGCTAACCCACCTTTAAACAACTGGACCCAGGGTAAAATATTATTTATATTTGGGTCAAGATATTTGAAGTAGCTGTACTGCTGTAAATTGTTTTCCAAACAATTCTAAAAGTTCTTTCGTATGAGACAAACTGAATTTTTAGTGCCATATCCCTTTAAGCTACATTTAATAGTAACAATATCACGGTTTTTGCATTGACCAATAGTTTTCTATGGTTATAGCTGGTACTTCGCATTGGTTTTAATATAGCATTAAATTTAAGTTGCTAAAATAAATAGAATGAATTCTATTTCAATCGTTAAAAATTAGGGTTGAAACCTTAGAAAACATTTTAATATGTATCGAAGTTAACAAACGCAGAACCACCTTACTACATAAATTGTATATTCGTTATCTCACTAT